TCTCCAGTTTTCCCCAAAGTTTCAGCCAGATTGGAACACTCTCCGAGTTTTCGCGGAGTTTTTTTTCCTTTTTTGCCGACTCCCTGAATAACCCCATTAAAGAACTTCAGATGTCAAAAGCGATTTACGAATACCATAAAATCAATGAACTCATACCAGGCCCAAGCCGATGGAACTTTTATGGAAAAATTATATTCATGTGTAATATAGCGGACCAACTTTTGCTCCTACTGAAAGTGAGTTTTCCAGATGTTTATTGTCGAATTAGAAATAACCTGCAGCTGGGATTTCAGTAATATTTAAAACTTTTTTGGGATGGGGCCTCGAAAATCCAAATTTCAGGTGCCAGTTTTTAAAATTCAAGACGGAAATTTAAATATTTGTTTCAGGATGAGACATCGTCTATGTATGTTTATATGAATTCAAAAGATAATAAGGAACCTATTGTGGGATTGAAGCTTCGGCAAGTGATAAGGATTCATCGAGGAAATGTTCGCCGAAACCCGACCACAAATACTAAAGAAGGTGTGGTTCAAGTCGAGATGGCAGGTATGAAACTTTGAATGAAACGAGCTTGTGCCACCTATTACTTCAGGATGCCACTTTGTCGCTTGGCCACATTTTGGAGATGCCAACAATCCCATTTCGAAGAGTTCGAAAAACTGGACGAAGTCTGATATAGACCAAGAAAAAGTAAGATTCATAAGTGAAAATCAGCAAAGCCTCGTTTTAGATTAACGAACTCAGTGAACTCGGCAACGACCAACCAATTACAAAAGCTGAGGAACTGGCAATCCAACTGGTAGGAAACTTTTTTGGATTGCTTAAAAAACAATTCTTCAGGTCAGCCACCGGGAGAAGACACGAAATGATGACACAGTTCGAAACTGGTGGAAAATGTCTAAAATTGAAAGCGAACAGAGTTCAGCGAGAAAAGCTCGAGAACTCTCATTGATATCAATCGGGGATCCTGTGGAAATGGACAAGTGAGGTTCATATAACTGCGGGTTGTTAAAATTTTCAAAAATATTGTTTTGCAGTGAATATGATATTGACGACTCGTCTTTCCTTGAAAGTAATGCTCAAGATTTTCTACAATTCGTTATCAATTGTCCAGGTTGCCTCAAAAAATACAAAACAGTTTGGTATATTTCCGATGAGAGTAAAGAAGAATGTTTCAAATGTAAACGTAAGTCAGTTCCAAACGGGGGTTTCTGAATCGACAACATCCTGACTCCAAAAATCACAATTGTGTTATTCAGCTATTTGAATTTATTTTACAGAAAAAGTTCAATGCAAAGTCGCCGTACGAGTGAAACTAAAGTTTGAAACCCACAACATCTACTTCACCTTTCCTATTGAACTTGTCGTAAGTTTCATGATCATTTTTCTTAAAGCTGTACAGAATTCTTTTTTCAGAAAAATAAAGAATGTTACAGCTACATTGAAAAATTGATCGCTTCAGATGGTACACCTGAACATGTTGATGAGATTCATAAGTTTCAAGAAACTGTTAAGGTAATATCGAATTTTCCTATTCTAATATTATTGGACTAATTCAGGAAGCCCTCCAGAACTTTTGCTTAACGAAAATTAAAGGAATGGTCGTAGCAAAATCTAACAAATTGAAGTTCGTCGATATTTATCTGTTTAATTGTAAACTGCTGAGACTAACTAGATAACGGAGATGTCCGGATTCCGCATTACGAAAACCACATCTTCTCAGAGAAATCAATTTTGTTCTGGATTCCGTGATATTTGTATTTATCCGGGTTCCGCTTTTTGGAAAAAGCCATTCCGGACATTTCTGCTAGATAATTCACTCATCCGGCATATTTTTTTGATTGCTATTTACTTTATTAGTACTTTATTTATTGTTTTTCACAAGATAAAATAAATGTGTTCGTCATTTAAACAGGTTCTAGTCACTCCATTCTTCGTCATCGTCATCATCTGAGCCTTCTGAGTCACTTGGATTGATTCCTGCTCTCCTTGCATCTAGGAAGCTTTGAATCTGATCCACAATAGTTCCAGACGTTGGTGAAACAACGGATTGTCGCGAATCCGGTGTTTCGCTAACTTTTCGAAGTACTTTTGAACGGTCTGTTGATCGGATTTGCTGGAAAACAAGCAAAAACTTATTTAAAGGGATCCGATCAAAAAAAATTTTTTTGCGACTTTTTAAATCCGAAATTCTCGATAAACGAGATTGAAAAAAAGTTCGCGAAAAGGGACGAGAATTTGAGTTCCCGGCCGCGGCAACGGGACGCCTTTTTTACCTGATGTGGCCTAGTTTTCTCACTGCGCGGGAATTCAAATCCTCGTCCCTATTCATCACCTTTCAAGTAAATTTTAATTTTCAGCCGCGTTTTTCTTGAATTACGGATCAAAACTTTAAAAATAATATTAAACTCACATCCATTAAACTTCTTCGATCAGTAGAGGATTCAGGAACAGTTGATAAGCGAACAGGTGGAGAACCAGGATCATCTTCTTCATCGTCATTACTTGGATTCATAACTGATGAAAGTGGTGGTGGTGGGGGAGGAGGAGGTACTGTAGATGGTGTGGCAATCGGTGGAAGTGGTGGCGGAGGTGGTGGGGGTGGAGCTTTAGTGGAAACTGGTGGCAACGGTGACGACGATTTGACAGAAGGAGATGGTGGTGGAGGAGCTGATTTTGTGGATACTTTTATTGAAGGACTAGGCTCTCTTCGTGTTGTGGAGGAAGTAACTGGCGTCTTGTATTGTATTGTCTTCAGAGAAGGTGGATTCGCTGGTGGAGGAGGTGGGGCAGTACGATTTGGAGCGCCCGTGGAGAGTTTCATTTCCGCGAATTCATCCACTTGATGAGAGTTCTGTGCAACTGGAGGCGGTGATTTTGGAATAGTATCCGGTTGAGTTGCCCAACGATACGATCCACGATGAGATGGAATGAATGGAGAAGATGGATCTGAAATAGGATTGAAATTAAAATTCAAAATTCAGTAGATTACAAACTCGATCTTGTTATCGGCTCACCAATGTGCCTCGAAGTACTCCTGCTTGGTAACTCTGGCGGTCTCTCCTTAACTTTCTGCTCAAGTTCATTTCCTTGCTCACTTCGCTCAAATCGATATATATTCTGAGGTTCTCTTTTGTTTATAACTCCATATGTATCTTTTCTGGGAGTTTCCCAATCAGTACTTTTGGCAGTCACAGTCTGACTATGTTTGAGAGAAGACGTCGTCACAGTTACAGAAGAAGAAGAACGATGTGTTGCAGAAGTTGATGAGAATGATGAAGCAACTACAGTCTCTTCTTCTTCCGGAGTTTCAGTCTGAAAAAATATATACAGGTCAATAAGATTTTTCAGTTGATTTTCGGCCATTCTGACCATTTTCATGAGTTCCGATCACTTTGAAAGTTTTGGAGGTTATAAAATAGACCGAGATCGAAAACTTTGCCTTCATAGAATTTTTAAAAGTTTTCTAGTTCATCAGATATGTGCCGATTTCTTAAATTCCCCCCCCCCCCCCTTTGGTAAGTTTCTTACTGAAAACGTATAAAACAGGTGTCTTTCAAGAAATCGGCAAATATCTGAAAAACTGGGAGTTTTAAAAAATTATATGAATGCAAAGTTTTTAATCAAAAAAGTAAAAATTACTTTTAGCTTGCTCATCACTTGCATATACAAGTCTTCTTGTCCATCAGTTAACTTGATTCCATCAACATGTCGAAAATCAGTTGGTTCTCCGATTTCTATAACTTTTTTAGATACTTTCGAGTGAAACAAACTATGGATAAGTGGAAAAGTCCTTTTTTTCTTCTCCTTTTTCTTCTCTTTCTTTTCAGACAATGAAGGTTTTCCGAGGTTTTCCGTTTTAGCTGGAAAAATATTTATTTCAATTTGAAACATTTTTCTGGATACTCACCACTGTGTCGCCTACAAATACTATTATGGAAGTTTTCGCATTCCTTGGAATCGTAAAAATGAAGACCGATTTCGTTATCTTTATCATTTTCGAAGACAAGAAGTTTCGCATGGACTTGAATTGTTTCAAACTTTTTATCTCTGAAATTAAAAATCTTGATTGCCTACATATACCGTAAAACCTGTATTAGAAGGACCGTCCCTTTTCATGTTCCAAAGTACATCCGGAGGGCCTTTCTATTGCAAAGGTCCTTCTATTATTTTTTCAAAACTTTTAATCAAAAAATAGTGTGAATTCTTGTTCAAAATTTATGAAAAACTATCAATTTCCAAAAAATTTAGAAAGACTTTGGCCAACAAAAAGAAAATTTCACCAAATTTCCGGAATAAATAAATGAATACTTACGGAAAATGTTGAACTCAAACAATACATTTTAAAGAGGTTCTTTCTACTACAGAGCCCTTTTATTAGGGACCGTTCGAATATAGGGCCTACGGTATAAGGAATTCCAACCTTATTATGAAATCGAATTGCACAGCTGGCTCCCAATCTCGTTGAGATGATGGTTCAATCACAACTATTCGATAATATCGTTCTGAACTATTCTGAAAAAAAATATTTCGATTTGATTTTTTTGCTCCAGATCTTACTGTACCTTGACAAACAAAGCAACCGCTGCTCCTGTTTTAGGCTTGACCCATTCTCCCTTTTCAACAGTTAGATATTGGCAAATTCCAGACGATAGAATCTTAATTTTCTTTTTTTCATGATATCATTAACAGTTGAATACTTACTTTATCACTTGCTGAGATTGCCCTCAAAATGCTTTCTTTCTCTTCGTGCTCCAAAAAATCACTTAAATCTGGAGTGATCATTCTGCTATTTTTCTGAAAGCTATTCAAAGATAGGTGAAAAAATATCAGAAAAAACAATCGATAAATGCCTAAAATGTCTCAATATTCCTTTTTCAATATTTGCTTTTTATCACTTCCCTCGTGTCTCTTTTCTTATCAGTTTTCCGCTCCGCAAACTTCCAAATTTGCCAATTTTATCATCGAGTGCGGATAGAGTTTTGTCAACTCTTTCTTGAAATATTTTCAAGATTTACAGGAAATTACTCATCACAAAATAAAGAGAACAGGGAGAATGAAACAGGTCGATGTTGATTTAGTTAGCTCCAAACCTACATTTCCAGCTTTTCAAAAGTCTCCAGAACTCGATAGCATGACTCTCTTGTTTATTTGTTTTTTCCCATGTCATGCACAAATATTTTCAGAGTTTTTCGAGTGTGATAATAAAAATATGTCAGATGGAAAAAATTGCGCATGGAAAAACAACAATGCATTCGAAAACTCTGAAAAAAAAGCAAAATTTATATTAATTCAACAATTAATATTATAGTAATTTCAGTTTTCTGATTTTCATAGTTTCGAAAATTTGAAATGAACAATTTTTGGAAACTAGTGAATTGGGAATCTGAAAATCCTAGAAATTTAAAGATATCCAGGTTTTCAGATTTCCATAAAATTTTGTCAAAGAATTTCGAAATCCTCAAATTTCAGTATTTTTTAAACTTTTTCAAAAAATATCTAAGTTGAATTTCGTATATCAAAAAATATCAAAATCTGAAAATATCAAACATTTGAAGAAACCCAAGTTTTCAGATTTCCATGGAATTTTGTAATTTCATTTTTGAATCCGCAAAATTTTCAGACTTTTTTGAAAATTCGAAGTTTTTTATTAAATAAATGAAAACTGAGGCTCCTGATTTGAAAAAAATCTTTTTCAGAATTCCTCAAAATACATTGATGACTTTTCCAAAAATATCTACAAATATCTAGGTCAAATTACTATTTTTATTTTGATAATGTGCAGAAAAATGACCAACTCTTTTGGAGAATGAGGAAATTAAATTAAAAATCATAATTATAAAAATTCATTTCATTCGAAAAGTTCATCACTTCTTCTTCTGCTTCTTCCCACTCTTCTCCGTCGTGAGGGCTGCTTCAGCTGGTGTTGGAGGACCATTGATTCCCAATGGATCAGATTGGAAGAATGTTCCAGCTGGATTCTCCCAAGCAGCAGGTGGAATGGACTTCTGAAAAAACAATATAAATACACGGTTTGAAAACTTGAAGACCTACATCAGGCGTTTCAGTTTCCCAGTCATACTTCGAACTTGGTGTGACCTTCTCGTTCTCCATAACTTGCCACAAAGCTTTGAATACCAAACTAAAATTTTAGAAATTCGAAAATTAAAGTTGTTTCACTAACTCACTAGTAATCAGGTCTTTGATAGTAGTCAAGTGTCTCCAGATGAGGCATCACTTTGTCCATACACTGTGGCATGTTTGACATAACCACTCTTGACGGCAGATTCAGTTTCATTTGCTCCACACGTTCACGTTGAGAATCCGTTTGCCATGGAAGAGCTTTTCCTCCATTCAACTCGATGAGAACGTACAGCAAAGACCAAACATCATCACCGCGTCCTTGCTCTTTTCGAAGATGAACATTTGGAGATGTGTAACGAAGAGTTCCACGGAATTCTGCAGTTCCACGAGCCTTTCTGGGAATCCATTTTTTCTCTCGAACAAACTAAAATTGAGTTTAGATATTAGTCTAGATAATAGTCTATATTTCTTACAAAGGTGGCAAATGGTCTGGCTAATCCAAAATCCAGAATATGCACGATTCGTGCTCTTTCCAAATCCTTCTCATGACCCAATAAGAAGTTTTGGGGTTTGATGTCACGATGGATGAATCCATTGTCATGAACGAATTTGAGTGCATAGAGACATTGGATTCCAATTCGACTCCATGTTCCACGAGAGAATCCATTGTTGACTACCATATTGGTGGACTTCAGCTTTCGAAGATTCTTCCCCAGAAGAGTCATCACCATATAACAGTAGAGTTTACGTTTTGCACATTGATACACAATTGGAATATGTGGAGCTGGTCCACCTTCGTTCAGTCTATTCAGAATCATGGCTTCCAATTTGATTGCTGATCCCCCTTCGATCTCATTTGATTCCGCCTTCAGAGCCGCAACTTTATTTGGATCATGAATATTCGTTGCAATGTATACTTTTCCGAATCCTCCTTCGTCTAAAACTTGTCCGATCTTCCAATCGCCGAACCTTTAAAATCAGTTTCAAAAAAATGGTTCATTTAGTTTTTTTGTTACTTTTTGCCTTCAGCGAACGTTACATTCTTCATCGGATCTTCCTCTTTTTCGGACGGCATATTCGCTGCGAATCAATGTGATATGCTCGGAACAACGTAAATAATGTGAAATGATTGTTTTTTTCTGGATCCACGATCTCCTATTTGATTATTTAAAAAGATTTTTACAAATCCGTTTTTAATTAAAAGTTTCACGGAAGGTTAGTGGTACATCTTGATAAGAATGCTATAAATAGTAGAGAGTTTGGTCAGTTGGACAAGAAGAACAAATCTTCCAAAAATGTCCTTGACCGCCGATTCACCAGCGTGCACTGTTCCAGCTGCCGGAGGAACTTCCGTTCACAAACTGGTCAATGGTGGAGCCGAAAAGATGATCTTCAAGGTTTGATTCAGAAGATTCTGATCATCAGAAATTAAACGGTTTTTGTTCCAGATCAAGTCCTCCAACAACAACGAGTACCGTATCACACCAGTCTTCGGCTTCGTGGACCCATCTGGATCCAAGGATCTTACTATCACCCGTACCGCTGGAGCGCCAAAGGAGGACAAGCTGGTCATTCACTTCGCCGTCGCCCCAGCTGACGCCACTGATGCTCAGGCTGCGTTCGCTGCTGTCACTCCAGCTGGAACCGTCACCATCCCAATGTCTGCAACCGCATAAAGTGAACTTTTTTGGGCTCTAAAAGATAAACACATCAATAGGAAGATGAAAATGAAGAATTTGAATTGTATCTTTTTCTGTTGTTCTTGTTTTTATGAGATTGCTTCTTTATAAGATATGTCCGTATTCCGGATTCCGTGAAATATTTTTTTCCGTTTTCCGAATTAAATGTTTCTTTCCGTCGTTTCTTTTCCGTTTCGTATTCCAAATTTCAAAAAATTTTCGATCCTTATGCCGTATCTCGAAATAGTCCTTCCAGACATCTCTGTTCTGAAAATTTTGTTGTGACATGGGTATTCTTAAAAACACAAATAACATTAACATTTTTTATGAACACAACTGGTTTTCTACACGTAAACTATGGTAAAAACTGGAATGAGTAGTATAATTTTCACAACGGATGAAAAAAGGGAAAGTGAATTTTTAAAGAGAAAATACAAAGTGACTAAAATGACTCAAGAAAGCAATGAATCAGTGTTTCTTCGTATTCACGATTTCCTTAACGGATCCATCGGAATAAGCGAAAAAGACTGCGTCGACGCATCCGATGAACAATCCAGTCTCAACGATTCCTGGAGTGTTTGCGAGTCTTTGCTGAATCGCCAGCCAATCTCGACCAGACACATTCTTTTCGAACTGCCAGTCAATAATAAAGTTTCCGTTATCAGTCACGACTGGTCCACATTTTTTTGTAGCCTGACGGAGTTGACAACTGCCTCCCTCGGCACGTGGAATCGAACGAAGAAGAGGTTGAGATGCTGGAGGGAGAACCTAAACTTACAGATTCTTTGAAAAATCACATGATCTAAATAAACCTCAATCGGTACAGCAGGATACCGGTCACCCAAGTGCTTAGAGTCTTTCAAATAGTCGGCAATAACGTAGAAATGTTTGGCAGCAGTTTGCACGATCTTTTCCTGAGCTAGGCAGCCACCTCCTCCTTTGATGCACGTAAACTGCCCGTCAACTTCGTCGGCTCCATCGATACAAACATCCAATTCTGGATGAGCATCTAGGTCAGAAACTGGAAGTCCTGATTCGATCAACCATTGTTTCGTCTGAACGAAAAATTTTTTCAAGGTGGAAAATAAGAATATTGATTTACCAAGAAGCTGGTCGGGACACAAATGATATCCTTCAGTTGTCCATTTTGATATCCTTGTTTCAGATACTCGACGAGATACTTCACAGTACTTCCGGACCCGACACCGAGACGACATCCACTTTGAACGTATTTTTCTCCACAGGCAAAAGCAGCCTGGAAATAACTCATATATATTTTTTTTTCAATAAAATTAGTGACCAACCAATAAATGTATTTTAAATTAAAGGTGGGGGGACAGGAGATTTTTCGTAGTTTTTTTGTAGCTAGAGTATGCATTCTACCGTCACGGTGTACAACGCTTAATGTCACTCTGCGTACAGCTGTCGTCCTCGCCTTTATGTATGCAATCGGGCGTGCCCTTTCTCTTTGCCCGCGTGGCTCAGTCGGTAGCGGCGCCGCACCCTCAATCATCGCCCTCACAAATTCAACTCCTCGAGGGGCATCTTTGAACGGAATTTCGAGAACATTTTTTTGGCAAATTCTCTTATACAACCATCTCTTATACTACTTTTCTCTTATACTACCAAGTCTCTTTTACTACCAAGGTCTCTTATACTACTTTTTACCACAGAGTCTCCCATACTACCAAAAGAAACAAGACTTTCGGCCTAAGCCTGTAGTTGGCAAAAAATTTGGGGGGTACAAGGGGGTACAACTGATTTAGGGGTACAAAATCGGTGATTCGGGGGTACAAAATTAGTAGGTACAAAAATTCGGGGGTGAAAACTACCAATGATTCTGGGGTACAACCCATTTCATACAGGGGTACAACGCTTGTGATTCGGGGGTACAATTTTTTGAAGGAGTTTCTGAATTCCTGCATTTCAGAGCTTGAAAATCACAGAATTCTTAGAATTTCAGAACTTTGGAATTTCAGTATTTCGGAATCTGAGAATTTCGGAACTTCAGAAAATGAGAATCTGAGAACTTCCGAATTTCAGAATCTCAGAATTTCAGAACTTCAAAATTTCAGAATTTCAGGGCCTCAAAACCTCAGAATTTCAGAACTTCAGAATCTCAATATTTCTGAATTTTCAAAAATTACGGCAGAAAATTTTCACTTCTCATTGTCTTTTGATTGTTCTTTTTGATTTTGTGTCATATATTTCACTCTTTATAAAAAAAAATTGTGGAAATTGTTGGGCATTGGCTGAAAGGCATTAGTTGTTTTGAATTTTTGTGTCTCTAAATTTCTCAGGATTTTAATGTTTAATTTAAAAATGTTTAAACAAACTCAGGATGTTTAAACAAACTCAGGATTTTAATGTTTAATTTAGGTTTTAAACCCCAGTCCATACTTCTCTCACTACCAATTTTTCTTAATTGTTTTTTCTCAATTCTATTTCATTTCCTTTTGCTTTCAATATTCCTTCGTTTTTGCCCAATTTTCCGTTTTTTCCCAATTTTTCAATTTTTCTCATTTTTTCAATTTTTCTCAATTTTTCCCAATTTTTCAATTTTCCTCAAGTTTCGTGGTAATTGAAATGTTCTCATTTTTTCATAATTTTCTAAATTATTGAATGAAGGAAACAATCACAATTCAGTGATTTTCCCACAAAAATTCAAAACTCCCAAAAATTGGCCCAAAATGAGCTGTTTTCTTTCGAAAATTGTTCGAAATGGGCAATAAAACACTACAAAAATTATTAAATTAAGTTTTTTTGATTAATTACCACGAAAATTTGAGCAAAAACTATGAAAAACGGAGAAAAATCCCAAAATAAAATTTCCCAGTGATGACGTCATCAGTCCATGGCCGTGGCCGAGCTGGTTTTCTCTTCCATGGGAAATTTCGCAAAATTCACAGCTTTTCGCAAATCCCATTTTTCTCTATTTTCCTTCATTTTTCATAGTTTTTGCTCAAATTTTCGTGGTAATTAATCGAAAAAAATCAATTTAATAGTTTTTGTAGTGTTTTATTGCCCAGTTCGAACAATTTTCAAAAAAAATAGCTCATTTTGGGCCAATTTTTGGGAGTTTTGAATTTTTGTGGGAAAATCACTGAATTGTGATTGTTTCCTTCGTTCAATAATTTAGAAAAATATGAAAAAATGAGAACATTTCAATTACCACGAAACTTGAGGAAAATTGAAAATTGAAAAATTGGGAAAAATTGAGAAAAATTGGGAAAAAACGGAAAATTTGGCAAAAACGAAGGAATATTGAAAGCAAAAGGAAATGAAATAGGATTGAGAAAAAACAATTAAGAAAAATTGGTAGTGAGGGAAGTATGGGCTGGGGTTTAAGACTTAAATTAAACATTAAAATCCTGAGTTTGTGAAATTTGTGAAGATTATTTTACAGTTCTCTATTGTGTACGTTCTAGAAATTTCGAGACTCTTGTTTCTTTTGGTAGTATGGGAGACTCTGTGGTAAGAAGTAGTATAAGAGACCTTGGTAGTAAAAGAGACTTGGTAGTATGAGAGAAAAGTAGTATAAGAGATGGTTGTATAAGAGAATTTGCCCATTTTTTTTCATGTCCCCCCACCTTTAACTTACCCGTTTTTTCGCTTGCTCGATTGGTGCCAGTTCTGCTTCGGGAGCGGTGCTGGTGACCATTCTGACGTTTCGAATTACTCCTGGTAATGAGAATTTTGAGGAAAACATATGAAAAACGCTGAAAAACAGAAAAACATGTCTGAGACTGATAAAAGAACTTTGAAACTGCTGAAATAAAAATACTTTTTATGTGCAAAGTATCGTGAGGGTGTTTGCACAGAGTGCACGGAAGTGGACGACAAAAAAATTCTTTTTTCTCTATTTTTCTTTTTCAGTTTATAACTAAAAAATTTCCGGAAATCTTAACTTAAACATGTTTGAAAATTTAATTTACAGAAATGAGTAAGCGACCTGTAATTGAATCTGAAAAGGCAGCTTGGCATGACGAGGATGATGACCATCTCGTGGTTTCTGTTCCCAAGAAAGTAAAGAAAACATTGAAAGTGGAACTGAAACGAACGACTGATGAAGAACATGGAGAACTTGATTCAAAGGTATATTTGAGTGTATAATTTTATAATTAAAAATCCAATTTATAGGAATATATCGGCCGTCTGCAAGCAGCTTTCAAAAAACGGCACGGAGGAACTCCGAAATGGGCTGATGCATCTGCAGGTTGCATAAATGATTATAATCTTTCAAAATTTTATTCATTTTTCAGAAGAAGATGATGAAGAAGGATCATTGTTAAAATCTGCGGCAGGATACTTGGCAAAAGATGTGAAACTCCCAAAAACGACTATTCGTACAACCCTTCTGAAAGATTTCAATATTGGACATCGATTCAATCGAGGAATCACATCGGTCAAGTTTCACAGAACTCGTCCCGTTCTAATCGTAGGAGATCAAGGTGGAAATATTCAACTTTTTGAAGTTCGTGATCATTGAATCCGAGTTCCAGAGCCAACTTATCAATTTCAGGTTAGCAGCGAGGTGAAGAAAGATCATTTCTTACAAAGCGCTACTTTCACGAAGTTTCCAATTGATTGTATGGAAATTGCTGGACAAGGGCATACGGTCATTTGTTCTTCGACGAGACAGGAATACTTGATGCAGTACAATATGGACACCAGACAAATAACCCAATTGAAGCCTCCGAACAGTAAGTTCATGACAAAACAATTATAGTTTTTTCATATCAATTTTAAAGCTGTTCCAAAACAAGGCGTCCGGTTTTTCGCAGTCTCCCACGATTCTCAATTTCTAGCTATCGCCGGACACAATTCACACGTCTATGTGCTTCACTCTACTGTAAGTCTGTCCAAATGGAGTAGTTTTAAGTCGTTTATTACAGTCCATGGAACACATCACAACTATTTCACTTCCTGCCAACGCTACCTGTATCAAGTTCTTCCCATCGCACAGCTGCGAGATGTGGATTATTTGCCGTTAGTTTCATACTAAAAATTATAATGTTAATTCGCATAGCTTCCAGAGGCTGGTCAGGTTGTAATCGCTACAATTGGCTTACCTGGATCCAAACCGGCTCAACACACATTCACAGATGATGGAGCCGTCCATGGAACAACTCTTGCCATCAGCCAGCATGGAGATTATTTTGCCACTGGGTAAGACGCCGTTATAAAATACGTTATGCAAACATTTTTTATAGAAGTGACACTGGAATTGTCAATGTTTACTCCGGTCATTCCTGCCGTGATTCTACTACTCCAACTCCTCTTTTCAATGTTTCCAACCTTGTCACATCTGTCTCCTCGATCGCCTTCAACTCCGATGCTCAATTAATGGCTATTTGCTCAAAAGTAAAAGAGAATCACATTCGTCTTGTCCATGTGGCAAGTCAGACAACGTTCAAAAACTTCCCAGAAAGGAACGGAAAAGTGACACATGCCAGTTGCGTTGATTTTTCACCCAAAGGAGGATACTTGGCTGTTGGAAATGACGATGGTCGCCTTCATGTCTTCAACATTCACCATTTTTCTGAGTACTGACAAACGTTGATTATATTGTTTCTTAACCTGAAAGCCTCGCTACTTTTTTTTGTTTTCGTTGATTTTTTATCTCGTGTTGTTGTTGATTATGAATACTTTTGAATACATCAAAGTTGGTTCCATAGCAAATTAAAGGAGGAAAATTAAGACAGGTCAGAAAGAAGAATTGTTTGTTCTTTGGAGTTACAACGAACTGTCTCAATGGTCGCTAGTGGAGAAACTCAGAGAACGACCGAAATCAAAGAAAATTGAGTGGAAACTTCCATCCTTCACGTGAAGTCTGGCTGATGGTGGTATATTAAGGTGCACTCGACAATCGATCTGATTCGTCATCTTCATTTGGGAAGTTTTTTGGTTTTTGGTTTTTCGTGTTTAATGGGCATCCCTAATCACCGATCTGGATTCAGAGGTATTTGAAAAAAAGATCCTCGTTTTGTATTATT